TGCCCTGCCCGTGGCGGGTGACCCGGCTCATGCTAACCATGGAGAAAAAAAAAGCTGCTGCCACATGATTCTGCTTTGACAGGTTCTATCAAGCGCTCCCAGCATCAATTCCCTTTCTATTAAGGCTGAATGAAAGGTTTCACCCTCCAGATCTGATTGCCCGGGGTGATAAAAAACAAGTCATCAGCACAGGCTGCAACCAGGCACCAGCAAATCCTCCATCCCCCCAGCGGGATATTGGCTGGCTTTATCTCAAGGTGCTGACCTCTCTTCAAAAAGCCAGCCTGAACAAATGGAGCAGATTTCTGCCCTGAAATGCTACCAGCCTAGACTATCCGGGGGGGGGACACACATGGTTCCCCCCTTTGCTGGGGCAGATCCAAGCAAGGATCCAACAAGGGAGGGGATGGCATCCCACGGACTCCCTTTGTGCCAGGCAAGACTCTGCTGGAAGGTTTAATTAACAATCAGTAGGGGGTAATCAAAGCAGGGCAGGAAACCAAGGTTGGTTTCTCTTCCGGAGGCTGGTGGGGGCTGTTCCTTTGAGTTTTGGCCATAAACTCAAGGGCCAACCAACTTGGTTGGTCCGAACCTCTTGGGAGGTCTGGGTCCAGGGTGATTTTAGCATTCCACGTGGGATGCTGCAGGATGGATTCAGTGATGGGCAGTGGAAGGAAGGGAAAACCATCACCAGTGACATTCCTGTCATTGAGGTGTTAACAAAAATAACACATTCATCTCATCATTGCGATTGTTCAGCCTGGAGAAGAGAAGGCTCCAGGGAGACCTTATAGTGGCCTTTCAATAACTGAAGGGTGCCTATAGAAGAGCTGGGGAGGGACTCTTTGCCAGGAAGGGTAATGATAGGACAAGGGGGAACGGTTTTAAATTGGAAGAAAAAAGATTCAGCTTTGGTGTGAGGGTGGTGAGACACTGGAACAGGTTGCCCAGAGAAGCTGTGGCTGCCCCATCCCTGGAGGGGTTCAAGGCCAGGCTGGATGGGGCTTGGAGCAACCTGGTCTGGTGGGAGGTGTCTGCCCAGGGCAGGGGGTTGGAACTGGATGATCTTTGAGGTCCCTTCCAACTCGAACCATTCTGTGATTCTATGATCTCCCCAGCCAGACCATTCTATGATTCTATGATCTCCCCAGCCAGCAGGTTTTTTTTTTCCTTTTCATGCAGGACATCAGGGTCCTTCCACCCCAAATCAATCAATCAATCAATCAATCAATCACTCACTCACTCACCCCTTGCAGAACTGACTGCTCAATGAGTGAAGTTTGCCCCCTTGTTTGGACAGGATCCTCTGCACGCAGCCTTTGGGGAAAAACATGCCTTTATCTTCTGCTCTCCGCCGTTATAATAAAAAAAGCCCACATGTGTCCTTTGTTGCTTGGAAGTCCCTGAATTTCACCGATGGATTAAGCCCTGCTGAGTTGTGAAGAGGTGAACCCCCAGGGGATGCTTTGTGTAAAGCCTGTTATCCCAAAAAACAAAAGAAGAGCTTTTGAAAGGAGGTGTGAATGGGTCATGGATGCCGATGGGAGTTACATTTCTAGGGACAATGAGCATCTCTGTTACTTTACAGCCATCCCAGCCTACGTTTTATGAGGGATCAAGGCCGATTAAGTTGGCGGGAAAAACATGCCTTTATCTTCTGCTCTCCGCCGTTATAATAAAAAAAGCCCACATGTGTCCTTTGTTGCTCGGAAGTCCCTGAATTTCACCGATGGATTAAGCCCTGCTGAGTTGTGAAGAGGTGAACCCCCAGGGGATGCTTTGTGTAAAGCCTGTTATCCAAAAAAAACAAAAGAAGAGCTTTTGAAAGGAGGTGTGAATGGGTCATGGATGCCGATGGGAGTTACATTTCTAGGGACAATGAGCATCTCTGTTACTTTACAGTCATCCCAGCTTATGTTTTATGAGGGATCCAAGGCCGATTAAGTTGGGTGGTGGGAAGGTTGTTAAGAGTCCAATAGACAAGGAACCCCGAACCTGGAACAGGATTGCTGAGCCAGATGTGCCTGGGATGCAGACAAAACCCAGCACTCAGGGCAAAAGTCCAAGAAATGCATCGTCATCCTCACTGAAGTTGTCTTCAGCCCTGGTTTTCCACAAAGCAAACCATCATGCCTCCACCTGGCACAGGGGATATGGCCATCAGAGGAGGGCAGATGCAGGAGACAGAACTGGGAATGATGGCCTTCTGGAGGCAAAAGAAACCTGCCAACAAGAGGAAGACCTACGAGCAGCTCTTTAACCACCTGGTCTCCTCAAAGCACCCATAACCACCTCCTCATACAGTAAGACAGGGGTGTCCTGACAGCAGATAGTCCACAACAAGCATTTCATTGGAAGGAAGGAAAGCAAAACCACAGGAATGGCTTCTGTGAGAAGCTGCTAGAAGCTCCTCCTATGTCCAACTGAGCCAACAGCTCCAAGACCTACCACTGGCCAAGACCAACCCCATCAGTGACAGTGTCTCTGTGATAACATACACAGAGAGTTACTGGACAAAGGAAATTGCAGCCCAAGAGAGGAGCAAGAATATATGAGAGGAACAGCCCTGCAGAAACCAAGGTCAGTGAAGGAGGAGGGGGAGGAGGTGCTCCAGGAGCAGCCCATGGTGAAGACCATGGTGAGGCAGGTTGTCCTCCTGCAGCCCACGGAGGTTGACAGTGGAGCAGAGATCCACCTGCAGCCCATGGAGGACTTCACACACGGACCAGGTGGATGCACCCGAAGGAAGCTGTGACCCCATGGGAAGCTCATGCTGGATCAGGCTCCTGGCAGGACCTTGACCCACGGAGAGAGAAGCCCACCCTGGAGCAGGTTTGCTGGCAGGACTTGTAACCCCATGGGAGACCCACGCTGGAGCAGTCTGGTCCTGAAGGTCCCTGTGGAAGGGACCCCTGCTGGAGCAAGTTCATGAAGAGCTACAGCCCATGGGAAGGACTCACGTTGAAGTTCACGGAGAACTAGCTCCCATGGGAGTGAACCCCACGTTGGAGCAGGGGCAGAGTGTGAGGAGTCCTCCTCCTGAGGAGGAAGGAGTGGCAGAGACAAGGTGTGATGAACTGACCCCAACCCACATTCCTCGTCCCCCTTGCACTGCCACCAGAGAAGAAGGGAAGGGTAGGGGAAAGGTGTTTTTAAGACCTGGTTTTATTTCTCATTATCCTGCTCTGATTCCACTGGTAATAAATTAACTAATTTCCTCAAGTTGAGTCTGTTTTGTCCCTGAAGGTCACTGCTGAGTGATTTACCTCAACCCATCAGCATTTTGCTATAGTTTCTCTCCCATGTTCAGCCAAGGAGGGGGAGCAGCTTTGGTGGGCACCTGGTGTCCAGCCAGGGTCAGCCCACCACAGGGATAAAAAGAGTTGCCCAGAGGCTTTTACTCATAAACTCTACTTTTTCCCCACAAACTGAGCTGGGCACCCAGGCACTGAGACCTGATGAGGACAAAGCAAAAGTAGCATTTTGCTATAGTTTCTCTCCCTTCTTCAGCCGAGGAGGGGGAGTGACAGAGCAGCTCTGGTGGGCACCTGGTGTCCAGCCAGGGTCAGCCCACCACAGGGATAAAAATTGATGCCCAGAGGCTTTTATTCATAAACTCTAGTTTTTCCCTGCAAACTGAGCTGGGCATCCAGGCTCTGAGACCTGGTGAGGACAAAGCAAAAGCCAAACACAGCAGCTCTTCTGTACAGACACCAGTAACCCAGTGGTTGCTTTTATTTCTCCTCCCCTTCTGACACATCTTCTTCAGTCATTTAGCGTTGAGCTGAGCTGATACAAGAAGATGATTCAAATTTGATAGCTGAAGTGGAGGAGAAAATGTTGGGAATGCATTTCCAAGGTGACCTGTGCTGAAGCAGTTCATTCCCTTGATTACCCGAGGGGAAAAAAAAAAAAAAAAAAAGCCAACTCCTTTCCTTGAAGTTGAAATATTAGAGGGAGTCAGTCAGCAACGAAACAGCTAGTGGGGAACTGCTCAAATCAAGATAGCTGGTGTCCTTCTTGCCCAGACCATGTAGGAGCAAGGCAGCTAGGCATCCATGGTGGGACATCATCTGTCCCCATCCTGGTGGTGACCTAGAGTGCTGGGGCAGACAGGAAGGGAGTGATAACCCCAGCAGAAAGCAACCCTTTATGCAAATAATTCAGACATAATTCAGAAAATGCCACCACGGACCATCACCAGGACATCATCTTACCTTCTTACCTGTGATTCTGATGTGTCTCCACCCTTGGCAAACTGAAGCCACAGCTAGAGCCAGGTTTCACTTGCACGGCCTCAAATACAAACTCTGCTCGTACCAGGGGCACCACAAGCACCTTGGTTAAATACAAACAAGGCATTTTTTTTATCCGTTCAGAAAATAGTCAGAAAAAAAGCATCTTTGCACCAAAACAAATCCTGCAACCGAATCTTTTCCCACTTCACAAAGTTTCTTACCTGGTGCTTGGGTGTAAGCAGCGCTTTGGGAGGCCAGACTGTTTCCAGGGACTTTCCCCCAGATGGATGGAAAGCCCTTCTTGGAAGGCAAGAAGTTCTGTCTCAACATATGGAAAGAGTTCTTTGCTGTGAGGGTGGCAGAGCCCTGGAAGAGGCTGCCCAGGGAGGTGGTGGAGTCTCCTTCTCTGGAGACATTCCAACCCCACCTGGATGCCACCCTGTGCGACCTGCTCTGGGTGGACCTGGTCTGGCAGGGGGTTGGACTGGATGATCTCCAGAGGTCCCTTCCAACCCCTACCATTCTGTGGTTCTGAAAGGCATGGGGAAGGAGGATGGGATTGAGATCAGACCTGGAGAACCTCTGGCTCTAGGTGGGGAAATGCACTGTGAGAAACATGTTGAATCATGTGGTGGAAACCCCACGTACCCAAGCTGCTTTGAGATGAAGAGACAACAGTAGATGACGTCTACTCAGGAGCACTGGAATAGTAACAGCTTTAATCGTCATTATTTTTTTCCAAAAAAATTGTTTTCTTAAAAAAAAAAAAAAAAAGGAACATTAAACGATAAGTACAATAACCAATTACTGCATGAAGGGTGGCAACGCAAAGCCCAGACCAGAGCTTTGGGAGAAAGGCTTGACATTTAGTGGGCAGAAGGCATCCCAAGGACACACACCCACCCCCAGCACGTGAGGAGGGATGGGATTTCAGCCCAAGGGCAGGGATAAATTAACACAGCCCTTACCCCACAAAGGGCCCCAAAATGTGCCAGCCTCGGGGAGGGCACAGGCCATCAATGAGGTGTCCCAGGCTGTGGCTGAAATGTTAAGTTGGGTAATAGGGAGTACCTGAGGTAGTTAGAAAAACTAAGGGGGAGGCAGGGGAAAGCTGAAATCATTCAGGGGCACCCCCAAAAACAGAGGAGGCTCAAACTCCTGCCCTCGCCTGCTGCTGACAACCACCAGGGTCCCCAGCGTGGCCATTCTGCCAGACCTTGCCAGGAGAAGAGCCAAAGCCAAGATTTGGATAAAAACCCAGGAGAAGGCCATCCCTCCACGTGCACACACGCTCTTGTGGGAGCTATTCCCTATTGCAGTGGAGATTTCTGCCTGTCCATGGAAAAATGTGCTCTTAGGGTGCCTTAGGAAAAAAGAAAAGGGGACACATAGCGGGCTCAGCTGCTGAGGGACCCTCTCTGTGCTACGTTGAGTTGCATAGGAAACTCCTTAAAGCCCCTGAGGAGAAATTAAGGTGCTAATCTTACTTCTTGTGGGGTCCAGCGAGAGCGACTGGTTGCTGGGGACATGATTTTGGGGAAGAGGAAAGGAGGTCGTTCCCTCTCAAGGCCACTGCACCAGCACAATCTACAGGATGCCTTTCCCATTCTTCATTTTTTTCTTTTTTGTTTGGATTAACCTGAAAGAAAATCATGCTGTGCTGTAACAACTAACCTTTCTGCCGTAACAGTTTTCGCTATAAAGAAGACTGTGCACTTAAAATAAATCTTTCTGTGCAAAACATATTTCCCTCCCATGTAAAATATTTGAGAGCTGGGGGGGGCAGAAGGAAGAGGGGAGGTCGTTCAAAAGACTCAGCTACAAAATAAACGGGGAAAAGCACGGGCACTTGGTGCTGCAAATATTTAGCTCGATGGCACCAGGTTTATAGGTTTATTTACAAGTTAAGCTGGACTTTAGGAGCTTTGAAAAGCCCTACTCAAAGCCCTCTGAAACCAATGGCAACGAGCGTTAAGCCCCATAGCACATCTGGAGCACCTCCAGTGAGCTCAGATTTCAAATCAGGAGAAACATTTTCTCTTTTCCTTCTTTTTGGGGGTAAAGAGATATATATATGGACGGCGACAATTTCCTCCCTTTTTCTGGCCTCTTTCCCCAGAGCAGGAGCATCTGGAGAGGAGCAGCCCAAACAGTTTGCTGCCACGGCAGGGTGGAGCCATTCTCACCATTCTCCTGGCCTGTCTCTCTCAAGGAGGTCTCTGCTGAACCCCAAACCTCCAGCTTCTTCCAGAGATGTCCTACAGCACCCGGGCAAGGTGAAGCACAAGGGGCTTGTGACTGCTTCTCCTGGTTAAAAATGGTACCCGAACATCTGAAAATAGGCAAAGAGCATCTCCCTGTCTGCAAATGAGAAAATATACGTTTGCAGAGACACGAAAATAAAACAAGAATCAACAGAAGAGGTCACGGGGCCTGTGAATGGAAAAAAAAAAAAATAAAAGCTCCTTTTTGGTGTAAGAAAGAAGTTTGTTGGGCTGAGGACACATGGTGCTTTACAGTCACGTCTGGGAGTCTGCCAAAGCCTTACTGTGGCAGTGGGGGAGGGCATTTACTGTGCTTCCTCTTAAAATATGTATTTACACGACTCACGTTTGTCTCAAAAAATGATAATTTAAAAGTGGTTTCTACAACATAGAAAACAGCCACAGCTTCCCCCCGAAGTGGTTACAACCTTTACCCCTCGTTACAAAAATTAGACTTTTATTTGTAAATGCCTAAAAAAACGTCACCTCTTTTGTGATCCCTCCCCATTCCCTTACCCCCTTGAAGTTTTTTTAGTAAGAAATAATTAACTGGTATCAATGCCATATGAAAAGCCACCCCCCCTTCTGGTTGTCTTCCCATCGAGGAGGGACGTCTCCTGCTGATTTCCAGTCCTAGTGGAGAACTTGCAAACTTTGGCCTCTTAAAACCTTCTTTTTCAAGTCAACTGCTTAAAAAAAAGGGGAGGAGGGGGCAGAAAGCACAGAAAAGAAACCGCAAAGGAGATGTGGACAAAAAAATGTCACTGCAGGAGCTAGATGGCAAAATCCTCATGGTCTTGAGGGCTGAAGGCAGCTGCACGCAGCATGTCCAAGGAGTTGACCAGGATCAAGGTGCCGGTGAGATGCTTCCAACGCTTGGTGATGGGGTTCTTCATCTTATCCAGCCCGGTGTGGAGCTCCTGGATGACATCACGGTAGCTGTCGCCCATCTGGCTGCTCCAGGTGAGAAGAAAATCATATGCTGGCTTCCACATGGCCTGTGGTGATGGGGCAGAGGTGGAGAGGCCATCAGAACTGGGCCAGGCTGGATGGTTGGATGTCATTCCCAACACACCCCCATCCCAGAACAAGCACACGTTCCTAGGGAAAAACACCCTCAAATTTCCTGGCAAGGATCTCACTTTGCAGTGAATTGATTTGTCTTGTCTTTCTGTTACCTTTTTAAACAGTGTGTTTCTTACATTTATGCCTGAACAATTCTATATCTTAAGTAGATGAAGCTGTTTAAAATGAAACATGAGAGGAAGAACGACATTTGGAATAGAAAAGGCTATTTTAGGAACAGTCAGTGCTAAAGTACTGGAAGAATCACACCAGGTTCTGATCAATTAAGTGAAAAACTGAAAATTTCCAAGAAACACTGGCAAGTCTGGGGATTTGGGCTGTGATCCAAAGCTTGCCAAAGTCAGTCACTGTGTTGATTTCAATGGATTTTGGATTGCTCCTGCAAGGGTATAAGGTATATACCAAGGTATAGCACAGCCAAATCCCTTTCATCCCCTAAAGGAGCTCCAGAAAAAACATGTTCTGGAGGTACCTGCAACCCTAGGAAGGGACCCATGAAGACTGAGATTTGTCCACTCTCACCTCACTGTCTACCACCCCCGTCTTGTCCCGGTGTGGGGCCTCGTAAGAATCCATCTGCTGCTTGGAGACCTTGGCAAGCTTCTCAGCCAGCTCCCTCCAACGCTGGGCCACCTCCACAGCTGTGGTCAGCAACACAAAGTCCTGGATGAGCCGGACAACCAGCCCCTGGCAATCCATTTTCAGCAGGGCCTGAAGGACACGGGTGAAAACAAGAGAGTCAAGGCAGGCAGTACATGGCAGGTGACCCAGGGGACCATCATAGAATCATTGAGGTTGGAAGAGACCCTTGGGATCATCGAGTCCAACCATCTACCCTACTCTACAAAGTCCTCCCCTACACCATATCCCCCAACACCACATCTAAACGTCCCTTAAACACATCCAGGGGTGGTGACTCCACCCCCTCCCTGGGCAGCCTGTTCCAATGCCCGACCGCTCTTTCAGTGAAAAATTCCTTCCTAATGTTCAATCTAAACCTCCCCTGTTGGAGCTTGAAGCCGTTCCCTCTCGTTCTGTCGTTAATTACCTGTGAGAAGAGACCAGCACCAACCTCTCTACAGTGTCCTTTCAAGTAGTTGTAGAGGGTGATGAGGTCTCCCCTCAGCCTCCTCCTCCTCCTCCTACTAAACAGCCCCAGCTCCTTCAGCTGCTCTTCATATGATTTGTCTTCTAGGCCCTTCACTAGTTTCGTTGCCCTCCTCTGCACTCGCTCCAGCACCTCCAGATCTCTCTTGTATTGAGGGAGGTCCCTCAAGGGACCCATCGAGGGAAGTCCCTCAAGAAGCCACCCCAAAAATCCTCCCACCCCCGTTCTAGCGACAGCTGGTGAAATTAGGCCACCAGGCTTGCCAGAAGAGTAATCCCATTAATTGAATGAAGCACTCTACCCCTCTTCAACGAGGCTTGCAGACTGGGCTGCCTTATTTTCCAGGCAACTCCTCGAGATGCTCAGGCGCCACCATAAGCAGTTTAAGGCATTCAGGGGCTGAGAAGAACAGATGCCTTTAATTAAGGTAACTAATCCAGGGTAGTATGGACAGCTTGCCTCCCTGAGCCCGGAGGAGCACCATCCTTCAGCACAGACAGGTGGGAATGGCCAGTCAGGAGGGTTTTGGGATTCTATCAGCCTCGGGAGGAGATGGGCTGGGGTGAGACCCAGGCTACAGGACCATTGCTTGGCTTGGGATGTTCTTTGCTCTTCTCACCACCCCTCTGCCTTCCTGTGCCTGTTCAGAAACCGTCACCTCCTGCGTCATTTGACCTAAAAGCTGAGATTTTCTGCAAATGGTTTTGAAGAAGTGGGGAAGAGGAACTGCAGCAGTCACGTTTTTCTAGCAAGCGGTAACTTAGCCAGGAAAAAAAAACGACGGAGCAGTGTTAACTGCTTAAATCTTACCAGGTACCAAATCACATGAACATCTGCTCAAAGTTGAAAACAAGTTGCCACATGGGGGAAAAAACCCCACAGGGCAGATCAAGGAAAGGAAGGGTTTTAAGTGGCAATTATCAGAGGACAGGATCAGATCCACAGAATCAACATCCTGCACACCGAGGCTCCCCATTCTCTGCCAGAGCCCCATGGACCGCAACAGCCTCAGCAGCAAACCCAGTCCCTGGGCAAACCCCACTTTGAACCCCACCTGGCTACAGGAAGGTGGTTTATATTACAAAATGGGCATCCACTTTTTAAAACTCATAAACCAGGTCAACAGACCCCCAGACCATGCCTTGGGTGAAAGCTTGCTGAGTAGTCTCTTGTTTTCCTAGATGTGGAGCTGTGACACCAGCAGACCCAGGATGGTGGCTCCAGGATGGGTGAACACCCAGGGCTCAGCGTTTCAACCAGGGGGTCCCCACTTCAATAAAGGCAAACCCCAGCTCAGGGATGAAGGGCACAGACCCCCTGAGTGATGCTGAACACCAAATGAGCCCCCAAGGAACCCATCAGGAACATCATCCACACCTTCAAAACAGGATGAGGCTGGTTATTACAGAAACCATGGATGTTGTGGTCCACACGTGGCCAGAACCTTCCCAGTTTCTGCCACCGTGGGTCCTGAAATCCTCTCCTGGCATGGGGGGGTCTGGGCAAACCCCAGCTGGTTGGGCTCTGGAGCAGAAGAAGGGTTAAATCCTCGCCTAGGCAGTTTCACAGGGACAGTTGGGGGAAGATGGGAACATCTGAAACCACTCCAGCAATTTGCAAAGCAAATGCATGTTGATTTCTCCCTTATCTGTTTCCAGCTTAAAGCCGGGCTCCAGCTTGAATCTAATTACAGCTGCAGACCAGCAGTTTGTTTGCTCCTCAAGTGCTTACATCGGTTTCCTGTACTAGGAGAGAAGTAATAAACCCTCTTGTTAAGCAAGCAAGGAAAATACATTTCAAAGAGGTTTTTCTTTTTTTTTTTTAAAGGGCATTAAGCAGCATTTAAATCTCACACCTGTGCCACCTCTCCTCCAGCAACTTTACAACCCAACCCACGGATTCATCACCCTCTCCTCCTCTGCAGGCGGAGGATTCGGATGGTCCTAAGGAAGAGCAGATTTAGCATCCTCAAACCTGTGTTTCCAGGCGGCACGACTGCCTGCATCCAAACCCCAAAATGACCTGGTATTAAGCAAAGTAGACTAAATGAGCCACTCATCTCTCCTGCCAGAGGCCAAGCAGGTCCCAGGTAGCAGAGGAGCCCACCAGGAGCACATTGATCCAGGGATTAAGAATAGAGCCGTAGGAGACAGATTCTCCCACTCTTTCTGCTGCTCAATGTAGACAAGAAAATGGCATCAATTATAGCAGCTGGGAGGCCACCCAACTGAGAACTGTACAACTGCTTGAAGCAACAGCTTACAAAGAGCCTGGTTGCTCCCCACAGCAGAATCACAGAATCACATGGTGTTGGAAGGGACCTCTGGAGATCATCTAGTCCAACCCCCTGCCAAAGCAGGGCCACCCAGAGCAGGTCCCACAGGAACGTGTCCAGGTGGGGTTGGAATGTCTCCAGAGAAGGAGACTCCACCACCTCCCTGGGCAGCCTCTGCCAGGGCTCTGCCACCCACAGAGTGAAGAGGTTCCTCCTCATGTTGAGGTGGAACTTCTTCTATTCAAGTTTGTGCCCATTTCCTCTTGTCCTGTCCCTGGGCACCACTGAAAAAAGACCAGCCCCATCCTCTTGACACCCATCCTTTAAGTATTTATAGGCACAGCATGTTAACTCTGAAACCTACTGATGTCCATGGAAACATCTACTTCCTGCACTTTCCTCCTGATGATTTCAGCTGGGGAGGCTCAACACGCAAATTACAGGCTGGGGAAGACAACGGGTCACCGGGCAGAGGTGATGGGAGATGGGGACAGCATGAAAGCTGGGTGGGGTTGGGTTGCAGGAAAGAGACACAGCCACCGAGGTCAGAGGGGATGGATATTAGCAGTACCAGTGACACATTTTTTTTGGCCCGGGCACAACTCACTGCCAAAGAAATACACGAAACACATGTGGGCACGGGGCTCTCCTGGAAGCCCTGACTGCCTGGCTGGGATTAAGGGCTCACAACAGACTTAATCCTCCAGCAGCAGCTTTTGGGATTACACTACAATTTCTTTCCAGCCTCCTCCCTGGCCCTGGATAAACCTCTGTGGATAGCAGGGTAAAACACGTCTCCACCCCTGGGTACACAGAATCACAGAATCTTCTAGGTTGGAAGGGACCTTAAAGATCATCTTGTCCAACCGTCAACCTCACTGACAAAAATAGACACCC